GACTAATGGAAGGCAGGGTTAACCCACATTTGCTGTGCAGGCTTCTTAAGCGAAGGCTCTCATGCAGGTTCAATACCACAAGTACGGCTCCAGCTTATGTGGTTAGAAAGCTCAGTATCACTTGCAAAACAAACCCTCAGCCATAGTCACACTTGAGGCTTCACTCTCACGCTTAACCTGGTACACCACAGGCACGCAATATTACCTGCTAATAGCTGGAAAGCTGTTTTTCCCTCCTTCAAGACATGCTCTATAATTCATTTCTAACAATTTACATGTGCCAAAACCAAAGTTTTAAATTTACTGTCCCTAGAAGTGTTTTCACGTTAAGTCTTTTAAGTACTAATACAAGCAAAGCATCCAGAATGTTTTAGACATTAGGCTGCTTTTCAAAACTCAAAAAAATGAAAACACCCTTCAAAGAAGACTTACAGATATCAAGTTGAAAGATAAACGTCTTTTTTGAGCAATATTTTGCAATTGTACATGAAGATCCGGTACACCCTGTATAATAAACAAAATTTTGCACAGAAAATGTCACGACAAATCCATTCCATCAGGAAAGGAGGTCACGGGGGGAGGGGTCACACACAGACACTTCTTAATTTGTTTCAGCTTTCTATAAAACACATAACTTAATTCACAAAGAAGCAGAACCATTTTTAAATTTGCTTAATGTTTATGCTAAATGCCAAACTATAACTTGCAAACTCATATAACTCATTGTCAAGGTCTCTAACAAAAAAATCAATAGCCTGACAAGAAGAGGTCAACCACCCAGTGGAACCAGACAGCTAACAAGTATCTGTTTCATAACAGCAAGTCACAAAACAAAACTCAAGGCAAAAACTTTTCAAAAGAAAAAAAAACATGACATGCAAAGAGCAAGAGTAAAAAAGATTAATCTAGCCCATGAGATAAAATCTGAGGTCTATACTATTGGTAGTTGTTAACTTTTTATCAGATACTCTTGTAATTTATGTATTAATTCTTTCTGTATTAAAAGGCATGTTTAAAAGATGCTCTCTTATTGTGGGAGACACTTTACTAGTATTAAAAATGTGGAGAACTAAATACTAATTTAGTTGGACTAATTTTCATCAATTCAGGGTCGAAGGGGAGCTGGAGCCTATTCCTAAAAGCAACAGAGACAAGGCAGGGCACATCCTAGACGCGAGGCCGGCCCTTCGCAGGGCAGTCAGACAAACACAGACCTGCACACTCTCACATCTGGGTCAACTGTACCAGGAGCCAGTTAACCTTCCAGTATGTTTCTGGGCTGTGGGAGGAAACTCCCGTGAACACATTGAGAACACACAAGCTCCACACAGATAGCACCTCACGTCTGGACAGAAACTGAGGGCCCCAGTACTGCTAGACAGAAATGCTAACCACTGCACCTCTGTGCTGCCCCCTTTCCCTTCCCAAAAGATCAAAATGAATTACAGTGAGCACTAAGAAAATTCCATTAGCTAACAGAAATTTAGTTTAATCTGTAGTTTTATCAGAAGCAAAATCTTTTTGGATACCAAACATTCATAGAGGTGTGTGGTGGCAGCTTGCATGAGCAGGTTGAAGAGAATCTTCACAATCCCAATCCATGCTAATTACATTCTGAAATAACTAGTCTGGTCTTGGCTTATGACCACTGAAGTAATTCTGCTACTCTGCTATTTTGTGGTTCTAATGCACAAGTAGCATTGCTTCTTGAGCCAACAGTATAACAGCACAGGTACTGTAGACAAATAAGTTAAGCAGCAATTCTAATACTGAAATCAAAACACTTTAATTATTATATTGAAGTCTTTTGTCCTGATAGTTTTCCAACTATCAGTTGTGATGAGCATTTCAAGTTATGTGTAAACAACCTCTAAAGCATCATAAATCAAGACCACAGAGATTTGCAGTTATGCATTACACTGTATATGTCAAAAAGGCATCCAAAAAAAATGAACATTCAGATATATAAAACACATTTATAAGCACACTTCTTGTATTTCTGAAAACAGTTTTTTCTTCTTTCATGCAAGCTCATCATGTGCAGTAAAACTATATCAAAATGCCGTTAAGCTCTTGTCAATGTTTTCTGCACTTAAGATATCAATCTGAAATGCCAGCATGGCAGTGTAACGTATATTCAATACTGCAAACTCAAACATAAAACACTACCCAGGCTCCACTGATAAAGCGGTTTCACAACCTTGGCTCCCTAGCCCCCCCACTTCTATACGAAACAAACAAATCAAGCTAATATTGCACACAAAGAAGAGTACATTCACTATTTAATGATGAAGACTTTCACACATTTATAGTGAACAGCGAACAGTGACCAGTGAATAGACTGTATGTTTGAGTAAAACAGACTGCTGAAGACTTAGTTCTGTGGACAATTGTTAGATTAGGACATCTCAAGTCAAATTCTTGTCCTCAGCATTCAAAGTCATATCATTGATGTTTTTTTTAATTATTCACCATTTGATGTATTGATTAATCTATTTGAAACTAGGCTATATTGTTTAAGAACAGAGGAATGAACAGGAATTTATGATCAAACGTTTGCACAAATGACAGAGGGAGTACAAGTTTGAGATTGCACATTTCAAATAAGCCATCTCAAACTACCTTATCTGCAGTGCAGTCAGGGGTGGAGTCATGGAGAGTTCACCATGATTATATAACCCTGGGACACATAAACAAAAGAACCAAAGGCAATAGTTTGAACAAAACAAAACACTTAATATTATTTAAATCTATCTTTTTATTTTATTAAAGTACACTATTTTAAGGCAACCACATGAATGATAAGGAAGTGATTTATCAACTTGTATGTCTTCAGTGAGAGCAGAAGCATCGTCTTTCCCCCCATTCATAAGAAGCCTGCAACTCACCAGAATGAAGACGCTGCCAGATAACGTTTGCATACGCCTATAAAATTAATTTGTTTACTGCAGCATGGGGCTCAAGCAAACAAAAGAAGCTGACTTGCAAAAAAATGTTTTTAATTTAAATCAGAATGATGACTATGACAGGATAAACAGGGCAGCCTGCATTGGTTTGAGAGAGACAGTTCTCTTGTCCTATGTGTCCAGCCACTTGCAACTGTTTAACTGACGCACAGGAGGAAAATTATGTTTGTATTAAAATAATTGCACTTCAAACAGGAGTCTTAACAGTACATCTTATCAATTAGTTTATCAGGAAATAAGAAAGCACATTTTTGACAGCGACGAGGAAACGTCTTTGGCAGGACTTCAACTGCCTCATTCTCAAAACAATAAATTTGTTCTTTCATTAGAACACAAACTTTAATGACAGATATTTTTATGATGAGAACGAAGCTTTCTAATCATATTTCATTTGTTCACTTTCTCACCTGGCAAAGAGGAAAATGAGTGAATGCCAATGCATGTACAAACAAGTTGAGGACAAAAATGGATGAACCACTAACCTACCAAAAAACAAGCTATAATCGGTATGACATCATACACTATTATTTAGAAGAAAGACATATGTACTTTTTTCCAACTTATTTAAATTGAATGCACTAACAATCCTCATGTGAATTGTTCGATCCAGCACTATGCCAGAATTTACTGTGACATAAATCACAAAGGGAAAACATTCTTTTAAGTGTTGTCTAATTTGCAAACCAGTTAAATTTGTGCTACTTCATAGCTTTAACACATAGAGGCAAGTAATAATGAAACTGGAACCAATACTGCATTGAAACAGTATATAGATTCTCTCTCAAAACCAGTTTCCGTGAGGTTGATTTCCAGTGTTTAGCTACTAACCTTACTCACAAGCTTTAAAAGACTGCACTAAACTAAGCCTAACTAGTGTTTCATTACCTTTGCAGACAATGTCTTATAAAATCAAGATTTGAAGGAACAAACTGCCACAACTGAAAATATTAATCCAGATCATTAACCTTTAAAATGCATCACTTATACTCAAATAATAAAAACTGAGAATTTTTTTATAGTGAGTAGAATATGAGATTCATCAACCTTTATTATGGGGGCTGAGACTGTCTGGTGTCTTCTGGAATGTTAGTCAGTGCTTCTTTTGTACTGTATGGTTTTGGATATCTGCTTGCATGTGTATTCCAGGAGACAAATCACATTACTCTGAAACATTGAGCACATAGTTGCCAAGCACAGAACATTTTGAATGCAGCAATATGAATGTGAAGCCCTTCAAGTGTCTGTAATGTAATAATGATTTCTCGTACATATCTCCCTAGATACATTTTCGGAAAGAGATTTACAAAACCAACCTGTATTTGGAATTAGAGAAAAGACTGATTCTTATGATGATTAAAATTGACCAATGAAGTAAACCACAGAGATTGTACCTTTAAAGTGTTGTTTTTTTCTGCAAAACCATGGTTTGCTTGTAAATGCTTACATTTGGGTTTTTAAAGCAAATAGAGATGTTGCCTTTGTTGGTACGTTCCTTTATTTGAAATTTCAGTCAGTACTTGGGCACAGCATGCAGCTTTCTCACGGTTTAATGCATATCTACAACAGTTCCACCAGAAAACCCCTGCTAGGTTTAGCATAAAGAGCATTTAATACACCAAGATTTTCCGTTTCAATTTTCACTGAACTGATTACTGTAACCTTCATGTTACCACACAAACGGTTTTGATTCTAGTGTGTGCAATATGTACAGTTGAACGGTTGAACCTCTCAGTTGTGGTTTCAGACAGCAGCTTTTTGAGTGGGCACTGAGAGGCATGACTGCTGAGGGGAACTGATGTTCAATTATTTTTTGGTTTTGCAAGATGCAAACTGTCAAAAAAGACCTCTAGGTGTCACGGCCTTTCTGATCTAGGCTTTTAATAGCAGAAAGGGAAAATGGGTCTTAAATATTTAGCTATTTTAAGCAATAAGATTGTCTACCCTTGTTCATTGAACATGACATTTAAAATTATGGACTTGAGAAAATCTGCTTGTACAGTATATAATGCAACTGATTATTACAAAAGGCCTTACCATTGATGGCTATCAGGACACATGGGATCTGAAGCAATAGCTTGTTCTCCATATGTCTTCCCTGGAAAACACAATGCATGAAATAAACATTTACAATAAAGTTTGTTCACAGATTAAAAAAATAAATATACATTCAGAGGTTTAAACTCAACCTTAAGGTCATTTAGAATAGGCCATCTATCTGCAGTATTGCAGAGGTGCTAGAAGCAACTTGAAAACATAACTTCTATGAAATGTGCTCATCAGGACATGTCACAGGAGAAAGACAGATCTTAAACACAAAGACACATCTGTACATAAACTTTTTAAAATGTAGTTCAGGTGGGTAGCTGCGTCAGCATGCGTAGGCTGGAAAGGAACAAGTAATAGGTTTATTCCATGCTGAAAAAAAGAAGAAAGAGAACACAACGTTTCAGCCGTGGAGCCTTCTTCACCTGAAGAAGGCTCCACGGCCGAAACGTTGTGTTCTCTTTCTTCTTTTTTTCAGCATGGAATAAACCTATTACTTGTTCCTTTTTAAAATGTATACAATTTTAAAAATCTCCTGCAAAATTGTTAAAATGTGTGATTTTTAAAAGAGTTATGTACAGTATAGTATGAATGGGGATATTTCTAACCACTGTGGCATATGGCCACTTATTTTAACATGATGTGCAATGGAGACACGTGCAGAACAGATGATATTGTTGTAATATAAATGAACCCTGAAACATAAAAGATCTAAAACAGCTCTGCTTTGACTTCATGGCCAGAATAACAGAAGTACCTATACAGCATTCACAGCTTCAGACTTGGGATTGTAGGACCAACAAATCACTGTTTTGGTGCTTAACTAATAACAGTTCTCTATGCATTCAAATTTAATCCACTTTTAAATAACTTTTCTCAACACTTACTGAACATTTATTGGAGGTGATTATTTTTTCGGCTATTTCAACACTTCCACGTTCAACTCATCTCAAAAGAAATAATGTGTTATGAAATATCTCAGATACTTTAAATAGCACTGCTTTATGCTAATACCCAAATAATCAAGTTAATAGGTGTGTACACTTCCCCCTCAAAAATAAAAGCGATACGAGTCTGGATCATTCTTATGCAAAACATGTTCCAGTAGGTATTATGTCATGCATCATTGACAAAAAAAATGCTTTAAAGGAAATATCAGGGCTATGGCCTACCTGCCTCTGCATAGCTTTTCTTGTCTTCGGTGTCTGAAGTCATATCATACACATCCCCATACGCACGAGCCAGGCGCCAGAGAAATGGAGCTCTCTGACCATACTAAGCACACAGGAGACAAGATATGATCACGTCAATATTGAGAGTGGGATGCAGATCAAAGAGGGTTATGACAAATTTGAGCACTACACACAGTCTCGGGCTTTAATTGTAACTGAAATGAAAAAAAAAATCAGTCTGGGTCTTTTTGCCAAATTTATGAAACTAACTTTCTTCAAGATAATTCATTTATTAAACGTTCAGGAGATACAAACATGCCCCAGTAGGAAGTGTTTGTATTATTTAAATAATAAGACACTTGGTATTTGACCTATAAGAGTCTGGCCATGTGGACAAGGCAGGTAAAATGAGTCAAAGGGCTCCTGCATTGGTGGGGAGAGGCTGGAAAGGACAGTGGGATGTCCTGCATTTGCACCTTCAGTGGAAAGATCTGCAGCTTAACTTTCTACTTAACCTTTACAACGAACCCCATTAAACAGCTATCTACAATTATTTAACAGGTTCACAGGACCACAACATATAGATCTGTTGTTTAACATAATGTATTTTATATCAAAGCTAGGCAGATCAAGAATAAAGATCAGCCTTGTCCGCTTCAGATGACAGACAAAAATGCCTGCCTCCAAGGTCTCAGTTCAGTCCCTCAAGTAGGCATCACTAGGTACCTAGGGCTGCAGGTTACATGCAGGACCTGGAGCCGACAAAAACCTGCTAACACTGGTTTATTTGAGACTGGTATCATTTCAGAATTCATGATGTCAAAGCAGTCTTTTTTGTCAACAAAGTTTGTCCGTTTTTAATAAACCGAAGAAATACACAATATAAAAGTCACAATCAAATGAAGTTTGTCCACGAAGGAAAATGTGGAAAGAAAGGGAATGGTTACTAAAGTAACCCATGTAGCTTACGTTCAGGGTGTTTTTCTTTTATTTCAAGGGAGTTTACAGTGACTATGAAATTGCTCCTCGGTAAGTAGGTCAAAGTAGGTCAAGAGGTTAAAAAGCAATGTCAGTGCTAAGACTGCACCTCATCCTTCCTCTCCAGCAGCATCATAAATCCTTCCTTCTTCTCCGACTCTGGACCTCTATGCAAAGAGTCAGCCGTCTTTATGAGGACTGTGAACTCATCCTTCTCTTCCTCAGCATCCTCTATGATCAGGCACCTCACTTTACAAGCCTTATGCTCCTCATCCAGCTCCTCTTCCGTGTCGGTGTGAGCAGTGACATATCTGAAATAAAGACACACAGTTTCGTTATTCAGAACACACTGCAATGACTTGCTTTATGCAAGGATTTATTAACGCTTTGGATACATAACTCGAAAAGCTAGGCAGTTTCCTATAAACTATCTATATAGAGGACAGAATTATGGTTTATGAGCAACACAGAACAGGATCCACATTAAAGCAAACAGCCACAAATGGTGTATCACATTACATTAAAGATGTAAATAATGTAGGTCATGTTACCCATGGAAAAATGCATAAAAGGTAGTCAACTAAAAAATTATCTTACAAGCTGGATGTGAAAGGAATCCATTATATTACTGTACAGTATGTGCATGAAAGTACATTTTGAATCTGGAATCTAACATTTCCAACCACCAGCAATTCTTTGTACTACACATCAAAACTTCTGGTGTGCAGAAGAGTTTGAAGTACTTTTTTCTGAAGGACAGAGTCTTCAAATGTACTCTCTTTATACTGTTTGAAGATGCAAACGTTTCAGATTGATATTTTTTCTTTCACCTTCAGCACAGTCATATGCCACTAACTCATGACTATACATTACAACACCCACAATGAACAGCACTTTATGCTGTGGTCCCACCGCTGAGTGTTCGACACTTTCAAAAGAATAATTTTTGAGAACCAAATACATCAACCCACCACTGCATATAAAACATAAGTACCTGAAAAAAATAATATACATCCTATTACAACTTTAACTCTAAGCAATACATTAATCAGTAGAATAAGAGGCAAGTTTTTGAATCTGAAAAGTTGCAAAAAGAAAGACAAAAAAACACTTTAGAGTCAAATTTATTACTGAACACAAATATGGACAGTAAAAAAAAAGACAAATGGGTTTTATTCAACTGGACGCATGTTTGTATAGCTCGTGCTCTTGTTGTCAACAGCTGCTACTTAAATGTTTCTGATGTTACTTTGATGTGCATATTTGGTTTTTATCTGTCTGCACCCTGGTTTCTCAATGTTTTCTGGTGAAACAAAATGCAGAGTTGGGACACGCTACATGTTCCACGTTCACAGCTCAGTTATTTAAAACACAGCTTTCACACACTGGGCATGTATGAACTACACTTGCATTCACAAAGCTCAAACAGAAAGAGCATTAAAAATTGTAAGATGCCATGTTTACATTCAATTGCACAGAAGGTTTCTAACTTTACAAAAAAAGTATTTTTGTAAGAAAAGGTTTTATAGAAAATGATACCCTTTTTAATAAGCAAAGCTAATCCCTACATAGTCAATAATGCCAAATAACATGACAGCACATATAGCAAATGCTTTTACATGAAGCACCTTTCTTTATTATATCAAAAGAAAATGCAACAGGATTTTTTGCAGTTGTCCTTTGATCATCGGTCCAAACTTTGAATTATCAAAGTAAAAGCACATTAAGCATATTTTTAACACAGTAACCCAATATACATGATCTACTTTACTTTATGCTGAGCTCAAACTGTTGTGTCTTCATTCAAAGGCCAGTGCATTGCCAGTAGTGTGTAGAGATACATTAGTGCAACTCTAAGCTGTTTAGAGTTCTTTACATTTGGGTGTGACCTGCATTGTCTGTTATTCAAAAAACACCCCTCCCATTGATAATATGCAGGGTGACACAGAAGACAATCACTTCAGTTGTATACTGTATATCATACTTTAAAGCACCTAAGGCAAATAAGATATTAGAGTTAGAGAAGAAACCATGTAAATCATTTTCACAGAGCTCTACAAACGGCTTCAGAGTTACCAATGTGGGAATCCTTAGCCTATGTGAACTTGTTCGTTTTTTTTATTTTGTTCAGTTTGTTACATTTTTTTTGTACATTGAGCTATAAAGACTGAAAGCTCAGCACATTCCAAGTTTAAAACCTACCTTCTTTGCCAGAGGTAAATTCATAACTCTTTCATTCACAAAGGCATTAAAGTCTGTTTTGAGATTAACATGTTTTTTTTAACATTTTCAATACAATTATTTATTTTTTAACCAATATATACATGGTACAGGGCACTTGACAAATACTTCACCAATATGCCACTGCAGATATATTGCTATCATATTCATTTAATGAAATAAATTACCATGGAAATCAGCCAATCCAAACTTGATTTCTGTATTCTTTTCAGACTGTTTAATAAAAGCTAAAGAAATGAAAGTTAACAAAATCAACTTATTGACAAATATGCCCTGTGCAGACTCTGTTCCACAGCTTTCTGGACACAATGCTGCACGAATTAGGACAAACCCCTGCGAGCTTTACAACATAGCTCCTTGCCAAGTGGATACAGACACATGTTTAAACACACCTTTCAAACTCTCTGCACCAGAGCTGGCTTTGGAGAAGAATAGGATTTTGGCTGGAAGACACATCTTACGTTTATAAATTACTCCAGCCATCTGGACTGAATTGTCAAAACAGTTATATTAAAAGAACAAATTCAAAACAGTACCCAAGAATTAAGTGTTTATAAAAGGAAATTACTGCACTGCTTCCATTCAAGAAGGCCTTACTCAGGAGTCCTATTTACTAGGACTGGCTACAGAGGTGGTATGCATCTATCAAGCTTCAGCAATTTTGGTCTACACCAGATTTCCAGGTTTTGTAACACCTGCATTTTTCTTCTCTTGCATATCACAGATTTTTAGAGAGATGCAGATGTGCACAATGACCAACGCAGGAAATGCTTCAGGCTTACACTGCTAGAACATGAGTTTCTCATGTTCATGGAGTCAGCTTTTACGCCTCATAGGGAGATGATATAAATAATTATTCTAGGGTGTAAATGATATAGATTACAGGGGAAATTTATATAAAAATTCTATGCAAAAACTAGAAGTAAAAATATTCTTTGTATATAGATTCCAGTACTAAGTACTGAGATTTACATGAGTGTGCAAATTATTCATGTTTCCTTTCCCAGCCCTGCCTCATAAACCATAGCCCTTTATCTAAGAGATTGAGATTATTCTCCCCATTAAATACTGCAGATAATTCAAACATAAAACTGCTAAAACATTAATTCCCATTGTGTTCCCAGAATCATACAATTTGACAGGACAATTTCATGAGTTAATTCCTTTAATAATTGTTTGCATGTGGTATTATGGGAAGGTGGGGTCTGTGTGACTGTAATACATGAGCTTTATATTTAATTGTGTGAATTGGATTGCATGAGACTTGAAATCTGTGAATTAACTTGATTCAAAACACATTTTGATAGTTTAACTGATAGTTGCCTATCAGTTTAAATGGCCAAATATTTCTTAAACATGTTTTTAGCTTTCCATCTTCAGTGCTTTTTTATCTTTACTGAGCATGGTGCATTCATTGTTTTGACAGTTTTAGAAGCTTACAAAAAAGGAAGTTGCCACTAAGTGATGAGCAAAGAATGCTAATATATATTAAAAAGAACACAAATGTTCACAAAAATAGACCCACAATTGGCCAGAAGTAAACCTTTTAATGTTGGACTAATCAGGTGTATTAACATCTCAGATTTTCAAAAAATCAAAAATACACATGAGAACTATTAAGGAACTGCAATCATAATATGTATGCATTGCGAGGTGAACTGTGAAACTGTAGAGGTTGAGTCCAAATCCAAAGTTCACAACATTGACGGAATGAGAGCCAAAGAAAAGTAAAATGGGACAGGACAGAAATGGATCATGTGGAGAATGATGGCAACAGCTGAAACAAACCTTTAGTTTAGAATTTTTATACCGTAAGATACAAGACTCAGAACAATGCATTAATTTTTGCTCACCATGTTATACTATTGGTCGGTCCAAAGGAGAGAAAGAAGAAACATTCCCAGCCTTAGAGAAATACCCCACCTACAATGACAGCCTAAAAGAAATGAACTCTTTTAGTCTTCAAAAGAAAAGACTAAGAATAACTGATCCAAGTTTGCAAAAGTCCTAAAGGCATTAAGGAAGTAAGCCCAGTGGACTTCAGAATAAACAGTGGAACATAACCCAGAGGACAAATGGAAATACATCTACAATCAAGAAACAAAGGGTTTCTTTACAAAGGGTTGTGAGAGTAAGGTAAAAGCTACCCAGTCGTGTTCTTTAAGCTGATACCCTGGCTTTTCTCTGCTGGATGAGATCCAGAATTAGTTACTCATTATCATACTAGACAAGCAGAATGTAACCTTTTTTGGTTTATGTAACCAAAAAGGCAAACCAAACATTCTTGAAGAGTGTTCATATTACTGAGATTTTTCCCAAGACTTGTTTCCTAACAAGACAGGGATCATATCATACATTCATTGGCAAGTAGTTGTGACAGATGTGGCTGAATTTCCTTTACAAGTGAAAAATATACTTTTCTGGCACTTCAAAACAAAAATGGGATAAAAAAAATTATCCTTTGCTTAGTACCAAGTTTACAGGCAGGTGAAGGCACAAAAATATATGGATATTACCAGCTCTATAGCAAAGCAGAAAACATGAAACATTTCTGACAGCATGCTATTGAATCTTAAAGCAAAAACAAATATTTTAAAAGTTAAATGACCACGTCATTTAAAATATGTTGCTAGATAAACTCACATGCATTTAACTTTGCAATGAAAAATTAAAAGGAAAACATAGAAACCAGCCCTTTCCTTACACTGAATTTAAGGTTGGAATTCCATTAGACTGTCAGCAGGGTTAGTGAAACAACAACAAAAAAGTGCTTATTTATTGGTTACTAAGACTACCATGTTAGTAACGCTATAGGGAAATAAAAGACCTGCTTTCAAATGCAGGTTAAAAAGATTTAGCATTTCAATGGCCTGAATAAGAGCCTTGTTAATAATAAAGTCTTTCAGAGGGTTTTAAAGTAGCTGTCACTGAGCAATTCCTGCAGACAAAGAAACAATAGTTACCATCCCAACAAGATTTAACTCACTAAACATCCATCTCAACATCAGTCTTACCTCCAGTTTAATCTGAAAGCCTCAGAACACAAGAATCTATTCTTAACTCCAGGCAC